GTGCAAAGGGATTACCGCATCGTCACCCCCACTGCGCTCCTGGACCAACCGAGGGAGGCTGAAAGACGGAGAAGCCTCCCACAAGAAGCCAGTAAGCGACAGTGGAGGCCACAAATCGGATCAGTCCACTGCCAGCTCAGGAAGCCCTCCGCCCACCAAGCTGCAGGACTCCTTCAAGGACGTGGGCACCACCAGGGAACGCACGGGTGTGTCTGCGAACAGACCTTAACAGCAACACCTGTGACAGCTCAGTCGCTGAGATTCGTCAAGACCCAGCCCCCAGGCAGCAAGCCAAGGCCCGAGGGGGCCTAAAGCAGGGAACCTGCCAGCAAAGACGAGATCCCGGCAGACCACGGAGTGGACCGGAAGAGACGCTATGAAGGGCGGCCGCCTTCTGGCAGCACGACCACCCCTCCAGGAGAAGGTACCCCGCCTCTCAGAACAAGAAACCAAGGTTTCGGGGGTAAGGACGTGCCCAGAGTCACCTGGCTCACAAGCGGGGTGACGAGGAGCTGACCTCCGGGACTCCTCTAACAGAGAAGCACTGGCCGCTGGCCTCTCCCGGTTGCCCCACCCCCACCCCCTACCCTTCCCCCCGCCCCCGCCTCCCCCTGCGCGCGGGCACCACCTCCCCCGCTCGCCCACCCTGGCCCACTCACCAGCACATGCCACACGTGCTCGCTGGCCCTGCGGAAGCTGCAGAAGCGCACGCTGGCTCCCAGCAGGCCCTGGCCGCCCCACATGTTGCTGGGCACCACCTCCACCTCGCGCACCTTCATGGTCTTCATATTGAACACCTCCAGCTTCACGGGCTTCTCCACGTTGGCCTTCAGCAGGGCCTTGAGCGTGTCGTTCTCCTTGTTCTGCAGGGGCAGTGGGGCTGACGCCGGGGCCCCACCCCCCACCCCCACTCCCGGGTCAGGGCCCCTCGGACCGGTCTGGGTCTGAGGTGAGGAAGGGCCTGGGCGGCCAGCGGCCCCGGCAGGACCCGGCGAGGGCATGGGCCACGGGGGGCTCTGGGCCGGCGACCCCTGCAGCCCCCACAGGGTGCCCCCAGGCACCACTAAACCTGCCTCCCTCAGCCCCTGGGGAACACAACAAAGTGGTCCAGAGCGTGGCAGGACTGCCCCTCTACGAGGCGCCCCTCGGCCAGAGCCTTCGCACCTCTCAGGCCCCGAAAGGCAGCTCCAAGAGCCCCCTCGCCTCCTCCCGGAAAGCTTAGGAGCAGAGCCCTGGGAGAGCCCCAGTGAGGCTAAGTAGAGGCCTGGAGAAGGAAAAGATGGGTTGGGCCTCCCTCCAGAAGAAAAGGGAGGCAGAGCAGGATGGGGCCTGCCGTGGGACAGGAGACACACACACACACACACACACACACACACACAAGCAAGGCAGACAGACGTCATATGGTGGAGCCTCACCAGCCTTGAGTGCCCGATGGTGATGATGAAGTCAAAGTAGGGCTCCAGGCCTGCCTGCTGGGCTGGGGAGTTCTCCTGTACCTGTCCCACAGCAGAGGCCACCGTCACCACCCCAACCCCGTGCCTCTCCCAGAAAGCCCCAGCCCCCAATTTCAGAGGCCACGCATCACGGATCCCTGCGTCCCAGCAGGGACACGTGCACTGCACGAACTGTTCCAGGCAGGCCACACATGGGCACGGTCGAGGTAACTCAATCCTCTCTTGCCGCCTTCCGGGGCACAAATTTTCCTCTATAGGAAATGGCTCTTGTCTGATCATGATCCGCACAGCATGCTTCCGGACAGGCCTCCTAGGAGAGCTCAGGGCAGCCCTGGGGGCTTCTAGAAGGCCACAGAGACACAGGGTGGCACAGGCCTGTGGGGAGGCTTAGGAGACAGGGAAGCCGAAGAGTTTACCAGAAAGGTTTAGATGTGGACAGGAAGGGAGGGTCCCAGGACGGAACCAGGGTTGTGCTCAGAAAGAGGAGGAAGGCAGCCTGTGGCCAGATCCCAGAGGGCTCCAGACCCTGTGGTGACGGACTCAAGACCAGCCGGGGAGGCGTGGCAGCGGCTGAGGAGTGTGGCTGAGGAAAGCAGACCGGAGGGACTGCCCCAAGAGATGAGCCTGAGCAGGGCGCCCAGTGAGCAGAGCCAGATCCCAACCTCACAGCCTAGTCCCCACTGCACGGTACACAGGTCCCCCAGGAGCCACTCCTAGCCCAGGGAGGCCCCCTGCCCTGTCCTCCCGGAACTCACTGCTGGCTCCAAACACACAACAACCAGGCCTCCCAGCTGGGGTAGAAATCCATCTCAAAGGCCCCATTTACAGAGCCTTGCTCAAACAATGCAGGCTTTATACTCGGGGCTGGACCCTGTGGTGGGGCCCCCCCCCCCCCCCCCCGCACCCACACCCTCAGGCCTTTGGCTGTGAGCACTTGATGTCCTGCTGGTCAGGCATCAGCCCAGAGGACACTGGGCTCCTGTGGCCTCCACAATGGAAAGGCCCTGTGGCTTCGACTACCCACCAGCCCCTAGAGTCTTGGATCCCCCCAGCTGAAGGAGAGCTCACACTGAGCCTCTGGATCAAAGCTAATTCGGCCCTGGAATTAGGAACCCCTCCTGGCTGTGACACCACCAGCTGGGCCCCTGCTCACCACCTCCCAAAGCTGCCATGGTTTCCCATGACAGTGAGCTCAGGAAGCAACTCCAATCCCAGCTGGCCCCTCTCCCAGCTGCCTCCTGCACCTCTACTCAGCCTCGGCTGTGACCTTGTCCTCTGGCTGTACTCCACTGCCTTCGCCCTGGGCTCTGCCATCACCCACTGTGGCTCTATGGGACTAATAATCTATGCCGCTGCCGCAGCACCCCCACTCCTGCACCCCCACTCCAGCAGCAAGCGCTGCCCTCAGTCCCACTCTCCCTGGGCGGGGGGGGGGGGGGCTCTCATCACCCCCACCCCACAGCCCCACCGGGTGTGCTTTTGTAACACTTTCCACTGTGTCCCCCAGCAGGGGACCTAATGTAATTAACAGTGACGGCAGCTTACCCTTGCTGAGGACAGGCTCCGTGCCAGGGGACTGTGACACCTGCTCTACCTTGCATTTAACCCTTAAACTCATACCGACTTACAGAAGAGGGTAAGCCCCAGGAAATGCAACCCAGAGCCAGCTCTGTTCCACCATCCTGTAACAACCAGTGCCTGGGAACCCTCCGTGGCTCTAAGCTCGCCGAGGGCAGGGTCTTCTCCAACGTGCCTGACACACGGTGAGGACGCCAATATTGACAGAGGGCGGCACACGCGTCCTCCATTTTTAAAGAAACGTTAGTAAAGGGCGCCTGGGTGGCCCAGTCGGTTAAGCATCTGACTGTGGCTCAGGTCGTGATCTCACGGTTTGCGAGTTCGAGCCCCGCGTGGGGATCAGAGCCCACTTCGGATCCTCTGTCTCCCTCTCTCTCTCTCTCTCTCTCTCACGCACACAAATAAATAAACATTAGAAAAAAGAGGTTAGCAGGAAATGTCACACCTCCACATAAAACGTCCCGATGGCTCCACAGGGCAGAATAAAATCCTAGACCTTCAGGACAACATGCCAGGCCCAATATAATCCGGCCTCGTCCTTACCGCTGCCCTCCTTACGGGGGCCGCCCCGTCCATGCACTTCCTCAACACAACAAGCCCAGCCCACCTCAGGGCCTCCCTCTGCCCAGAAGGCTCTTTCTTCCACCAAGTATCCGTACTGCCCACTCCTTCCTTCCGAGGTGCTTTGATGAGAGGCCTGTCCTGACCCATCTGTCACTTCCTCGGCTTTATCCTCCACCCCAGCAGCGATCTCCACTTACCGTGGAGATCTATTTCGTCTGTGCCTGCCTCCTCTCAGGGCCAGCAACCAAATGTAAGCTCCATGAGAACAGGGACAACGTCTGTTCTGTCCCCTGCTTTATCTCTGGCACCCCAAGCTCCGCCTGCCAGAGCAGGTGCTTACAAATGTCCGTTTGGGGGAATGGAAGACCTCCAGTCCTTTGACCTCTCCACTCTGCCCTCTCCAGCAGGCCCCTCCTGTCTTCACTGCCCCCATGGCCCCACCCCTCCCTCTTGCCAAATCCTCAGTTCCTTCCCTTTCCATCAACCTGTTGCAAAACTCTCCTGGATGCATCCCAACGTCCACTTTTTCTGTCAGGGGCCTCACCGTGATGCCAACCAGAGAAAGCCCATCACCCAGGCAGAATCCTGAAGCCTGCCTGGCTTTCCTTTTAGGAAAACCCTCCTCTAGCCCTCCCCTCTTGCGGTTGTTAACAGAGCCTCCCACCACGATACAGACACGCCCTGCCTACACTCAGCCCAGCATCTATCCACGGTGCCCAAGGGAAAACACAGGGTCCTTACCCACTGCGCTCTGGGGTCAGAGACCCTCCTGTCCCAGCCCTCCTTCTCCGGGATACACATTGTCACCCCAACTCTCCATCTGGCTGCTGGCCCCTCTCCTCCTCTTCAGACTCGAGGAACCCCACTCCGTCTTCACTTTGCCCAGAACTGCCGGTCCAGACCTCCTGGTCGCAGCACCAAGACGACTTTATCGGTCGCGCCTCTCCACGGATTTCACCCGAGGTCCCTCCCCTGCTGCCAGCGCTCTCCCCGTGCCCTCTGCGCCATTCTCCTGGCTCTCCCGTTCCCGCTCTCCCTGGCTGGTTCGCGCTGCCCCTCGAGCCCCCGACCCGAGGCCTGTCGACCCCATGACAGCGGCGCGCGGGCCGGCCGGCTCCCTGGCAGTCGGTGTCCTCTCGGCCACCCCGACTCCCTGGACCCGAGGGCGGCGAGCTAGCGTCTCAGTGTTGCTGGCTCTCTCCCCAGGTCCAGCCCGGAGGCGACCGCAAATAGGACCTAAGTGCACAAGTGCCTCCCGGCTGAACCTGGTGCAATCTTCATCCGGGCGAAGTGCCACTCCGGGACCAGGAAACGCTCCCGCTTCCTGCTTGGCTGGCACTCGGGGCCGGGGCCGGCGCCGGGCCGACCGCGGCCGCAGACAGGCCGGGGGCCGGAGGGCCGCGGCGCCGCCTCCCGGAGGAGGCTCCCACCGGGAAGGAGGCACATCCCGCCCCCGCCCCCACCGACACCACCCGGCGGCCCCTCGGGGGCCGAGACCCCGCCGCTGCCGACCTCGGGCCGCCGATAAGCGTCCCCATCGCTTCCGTGCGGGCGCCCAGCCAAGGTCACCGGCGCCGCGGGGGCGACTCACCCCGTGCAGGTGGAAGCCCTCGGCACCGCCCGCGGGC